CAAAACTGTTTTCACAAAAGTAATTCGCTGTTTTCAGGCTTGCATTATCAAGTGTTCACAGTTCAGTTTTTCAGTGGTCATAGTTATAGATAGATTTTCAAATGCAATTTTCTGACATAATAAAATCAACTTTCTAATATCAGAAAAATCAACAACAACACCCCCCCCCCCCCCCGCGTTCTACGGGCCTGGTCAAACATCCAAAAACTTCGTAATCAGAAAACACAATACACGTGTTATTATGATGCTTCAGAAATCTATTATGCTTATATTTGATTTTTACTGAATAATAATAAACTCAGTAAATATGTTATTTATTCTCTAGATTTTGTCAAATGGTACAATACTTTGATAGAGAATTAATGTGACATGATTGACAATTCGAGCAAATCTGATCCGAGCAATGGCGGGTTTAAAAAATATAACAAAGCAAAAGCAAAAAAAAAAACAAACAAACAAACAAACAAAACAAAACAAACAAACAGACAAACGAACAACCAAACAGTGAAAACTGTCAAGGAGTTCTAAAGTTTGCAAATCCTTGATATTTCCAGATTCCTCAAAGCGGATGTATAAATAACGTTATTTAGGACCCTTGTCTTTATTCCAATGCATATAGTGAGATAACAACAAAACTGAGTTATTTTTGAGTTATTTACAGCATTTTTTAATACCCTGTAAAACAGCAATGGTTGCCTATATTCAGTATGTGTTAACTTAATTGAATACTAAATCGCCTGAGTAGACATATGTTGTTTTGGTTCTCTACTATAATCAGTTTGTTCCTCGTGGACTGGATTGCCACAATAGATCTTCCTTTGAGACAGGCCTCCGTCGCTGAGTGTATTTGCTCACCTGTACTAATATCGAGAGCTGTAACATTACCGGCCCGAGGGCTGATCACCAGAAGGAATGGTAAAGGCCGAGGTATAAGCAGCGCGGTACCGGGGTTCTCTAGTGGTTGATTCCAAATAATAGAGCCGTCTGATTGGTTTACACAAACCACGTGGTTATTTAGATCACACAAAACTATACCAACTTCAGTCAGACAAATCCGAAAAGAATTGAAGTGAAAGTCATCTATGTCGTGAAATGCTTGTTGCACTAGATGTGAGGTATATTTCTGAGTGTTTATCAGTTTTATCCGGAGTTGCCCTGCTGGTGCTCTTGAGGTGAAGAAAACTACAAGCGTGTGGGAAGAGAAAGACATAGCGTTGATGCATCCATCAATATTCCACTCACGGTCCTGTTTGATAAATTCATTGCCTGCAATTTTATAGGTCATGATCCTACCCTCCGCCGACAACGCCACCTCATTGTCGTTCATATACGTCATGGCTGAACAACGAAGGCCAATGTGAACAGAATTTTGTTCGGAAAGGTCTGCGCCGAGGAGCTTTAACGTTTTTGAGGCCCGATCATAACAAACTAGTCTGTCGTCTTCAATACAAACCATAGCGCTGATGTCAATACTGGTTCCCGGCAATGGCTCTAGGAATTTGTTGTAATTATCATTGAGGACTGTAAGTTGTTTGTCTAAAAATTCAAGAAAGTCCGAGTCGTCTTCAGGTCCAGTGTCCATGGTATCATATATTATTGGGATGAAAACAGTCCTTATATAAATCTAAATAATATGTTTTGAAAGCACCTAAAGCAATGGTTCACCAGAGGTATGCTGCACTTCGCCCCAATTACTGGTCTCTGGTCCACCTTCCTCAAATAACATTGGTCACCTCTAAATGTCAAAATCAAAAACATGGAGTTTCGGTTTGATAAGATATCCGTGAACTTATTGATTAAATGCGGTCGAGGATATTTTAAGAGACAGGGTTATTTAAAAACAAACAAACCCGTAAGATTTAAATTATAATTCAAATGGGTATGGCGAATTTATTAGATGGCTTTAATTCAAATGATTTTTTAAAAGGAAAATAGTATGATTATTTTAACCCACCACGACACTTTTTCTGACATACTTGAAAATTTTACTTGCATATCTACTAGGGCTGGGTATCGGCTGGGAATTTCGTTTTACTATATACTGATATACTGCGATATTTTTAACTGTATTGTGATATGTATTGCAATATTTTCAATAAATGATCATTTCTTATTTTATTTACCTTCATTTATAAGCAGAGTGTATATAACTATGATTATTATACTTCTGTTAAAATGTTTCCTATATAAAGTTAAGAAGGTAAAATAACTATCTTTATAGTCTCAAAATTTCCACACATAGCAAAGCTATACCCCGGGGTATAGTTTTTTGCTATCCACCCCTCGGAAAATTTTCATGCCAATTTTGATTTCCTGTAATCAATCTATAGACTTATGATGTCATCCTGACTTCAGTAGCATTGTGACGTCATCAGGATTCAGCTCATTCTAGCAGTGTTATCTTATTCCAAATACTTGTTCAAGACTTTTATTATTTTTTTTTCATGTTTTTACTTTAAAACTGTAGTTTCAGGTAAATCCAACCCTCAGAAATTATGATATACATCAGTATAATAAAACGCTTATCCACTGGCTGTGACTGGGATAGCTCTTTCATCAAACCCTTGACAGGAACTATTCCCCTCGGGCAAGCCCTCGGGGAATAGTTCCTGTCGCGGGTTTGATAAAAGAGCTATCCCACTCACAGCCAGTGGATAAGTGTATATTAATACACTATATAGTATAAAAAAATTCTTGTTGAACTAAGTTCTATAGTTTTGCACCGAAATGCAACCATACAACAGCAACCTTACTGTTTGGCACGATTGAAAAGTTTCTGACATCTTAAATTTCATATTTTACTACAGAAATCCCACGCCCAAGCATTTTGCCGGTATATTGGTGCTGAAAAAAAAAACATATTAAAACGATATTTTTTGTCAACGAACCGCAATACACCGAAATATCGATATTATTACGCAGCCCTAGTATCTACAGTATGGGTGTTCTAAATAGAGTCCTACAGGCATCAAGAAGGGGGGGGGGGTCCTATAGAAGACAAAGCCAATTTATGGTCGCACCCCCTCATTTACAACATCTGATGACTTTCTATTTATGCATGTTCTATAGTTTTGCGTAGCAATTATAATCTTTCAATCGGAATTGTTCTGAAGTAAAATTTTATTGCACAGTTATGAAATGGAAGTTTGTATAAAGACCAATGGACATTTTTTTAAAGGGGGAGTAGTTTTTCAGACTTTTGAACAGACCTAGAGGAAACTAGGTTTTCAGATCTCCACACAGTTCTGAAAAGAAATCGCATCCCTACACTCCCGACCAGTCTGATGGTTTGAATTTCGATATAAATTTTGACTTCGTTGTATTAAAACTGGATGATATCTTTCTGTGAAAAAGACATTTTCAATTAGTTTATTTTAGTATTATTATTATATATGATTTCCTGAGAACCTCTTAATAAAAACTGTATGTTAACATTGATTACTCATGGAAAATAGCGACATGTTTACTGACCGAACAGAGATCAAACAAAGCATAAAATTTCATTTTGTTCTCACGGTTATCTCTAGTTCACAGAAAATGGGTGATTGGAAAGATGAAATTAATGAGTGAAAGAGACATTTACGGGAATTCCCGGAACATCCTTTGTAGTGGTAATATCGAAATATAATCCATTCTATTTACAGCTGGGGAGTACCTACTTCCCGCGGTGAGTGTCTGTGCCTGGTATACTCGAGAGATTGTGAATCACAGAGTTTGTGAAATAATTTTAAAAAAATTAAAAAAAAATACTGGTCCTTTTCCTGTTTTAATTCATCGAGTGTAATCATTCAAAGCATTAATCAAATAAAAGGTAGGATTTTTAATTTATTCGTAAACTTGGAATACTTTTTTATTTTTTATTTTCTGAATAGTAAACTGTATTTAGGTTTAATCTGTTGTAAAAAGATTTTTTTTAAAAATCAAATTAATAATATATTGATTATTAAAATGTCGATTCGTTTATGGAGATATTTGCTACGTAAACGTTATCAATAAAGTGAGTAAAAAGGTTAAATGTTTTATCAAAATTATATATTACAAATTTTTTAAGTGCACTTAATTTGAACGGAAATTTCCAAAAAAAAATATTTACAGCTATATGTCCTTTAATTATACTATGAATGTGAAATTTGAAAACAAAAATTAACTTGTGATAATTGAAGTAGTTAAGACTGTGCATGAGAATTTGAATGACAGATTTTAACAAATATTATCTTATAGAATGTTAAAAATTCCTAAAATCAGTGTTTCCTGACATATTTTTTTTTTTCTCTTCGACTATCGAGTCCATTGATAAACATTATCCTCGGGGGTGGAGGGGGGGTTAAAGTTGTAAAGACACAATTGCATTGCCGTTTGGTTTACAAAATAATTTTCCCGTATTATTTTAAATGGTTTTGAAAATTACATTACTAATTTAAGGGAAAAATACTTATAAAATTTCATACAACAAATACTAGAAACTGGGTGAAACTTGGACACTGCGTAATCACATATATGTTCAAATTGCTGATGAATGTTATTTTTTCTTAGAATGTACAGCTTTAATTAATAAAAGAAAAAGATTGCCTGTCAATTATTATATACTGGCTTTCATAACACCACAATGCAAATCTAATTAATTTTACAGCAGCTTGTACAAAAAATATACTAATTTTTAAGTTCTTTTATATTCTCCACAATAAGAAGCTTAACTAACTTTTTTTTAAAAAAATATCAAATTGCATCAAGTTGTTTACAGGGTATAGTGCGTAAACCTTGCTCAATTTTAAACAAGTATAGAATTAATCGAGCAAAAAATGTCAGTAAATATTTATTTAAATTCGGTGTCAAATGAAGCTGTGTTATGCGCGTCCTTCTATTATGTTGTCAATATGTTTATCAGCATTTCCCGCGTTTTATCATCGTTCCATGACGTTTTCTTTATTTGGAGGTTGTGTGGTCTTTTTAGTGACTCGCCGCGCAGTCACGCGTGAAAAGTGACGTACACAGGTAGGTAAACGGATCAGTGACATTCCAAGCGTAAATGTTTAGAAGTTATATCTGTTTCCGGTTTGGACTATCGACAAATTTAACTTGACCCAAGGCCTGTAATAATTGCTTTGTGTAGGATAACACTGTCATTTTGAAGGTAAGGTGTCCATTTACTGGCCACTGAAGTGGCCAAGACACAGAATTCAGGTGTTGTCGAGATAAATCAGGTATATTTCTCCTGTAAGTCCGAGAATGTGCTGGGTATATTTAAAACAGTGGGTATTCCATTATATGGCGATGTGTAAGGGTGTTCAATGCTTTAATCTGTTGACTGTAGAATTATTGTCGTTGGATTTGTACATTGGGCTAGGTGTAAACACGATACATTTCTTAACTTTCGCTACAAAAGAAGGCTGATTATATAATTTGCTGTCATTATTTTAGTTGTTCTTGGTTAAATGTCACATTAATAAAGTAGAACCTTGGTGACCTAAGACTAGTAAGAGTAAAATTTCAGCTTTGATACAAGCTAAATTATGTCCAGTCTAGTGACTCTATCATGCATAACCAAATATATAGGAGTTATCTTGATTTTTATTTTTTTAATTAGATTCTGTCTTTCTTTTTTTTTTTTGACTAAATGATCATTAGTATTGAAGACATTTGATGTCTTTATCATATTTACTGATTACTCTAGATCTTTAGCTCACTGGTCTAAAAAAAAGTGGGATGAGCATTAGCGGATCCAAGGGGGGGGGGGGGTCCAAGGGTTGGAACCCCTTTTATTTTTGCAGAGAGAGAGAGAGAGAGAGAGGATGTGTTTTCTGTAGTATAGATACTTTTACATCTGATATTTTGAATAAAATAAGTAGTTCAATCTTTGCCCTTTCTACTCGCTAGATAGAGTTTCACATATTTGCTTTTCTGCATGTACCTTCAGAACCCTGGCCCTGGACCCCGACCACCCACAAGTTACATGCTAGGTTTCACTTTGATATCCTCAGAAGATTCCAGTTGTGTTTAGCAACTACATCTAGTATGCCATTTTTGGACCATCTTCTGAAGTAACTAACTTTAAAAGTATGCATAAAGAGTCATGAAAGGGTGTGTACATAAGAGAATATTTCTCTCCTTATATTATGGAGATGTTTAAAAAAATAAAGAGAAAGTATTAAAATGTCCCCGTAGTATGCGGGGGGAAGGAAACTCACTTTTGCTGAGATTATATTTTAATATGCAAGTTTTGATTTTAATGCTCCCCCCTTTTTTTTTGTTGCCAGAAGGTCAAAATATGCAAATTTTTGCATTTGAAAGAAAAAAGCGCTGTCAAGTTATAAAAGAAGCCACATAATAAATTAAAATTAAGTTTTTCGATCCACTCCACTTGATCACTACATCTGGTGGAGTGGATCAAAGGATCTAATTTGATTAAGATTCTTTTTAGCTAAGAAATTTAATCCATTTGGTTTAATAAAATTCTGACTCTTCTCTACATGAATTTTTTAGTCTTTATAAGCTAATTACACACAGCATGTACAGTGTTCCCAAATAGAGAACAATTAACTTACAAGGATGGAAACCACAACTTCAATTATGGATTTTGGACTTTGAGAGTAACATGAGCTGATCGAAGTACTCAGATTTTAGAAGGATAAACAGTGTAGGTTGTGTCAACTAAAATGACTAGATCCAAACTCAGTATATTGCAGACATGAGGGGTACAATTATCATTCAGTTTCACCAAAGTGCATCATAAGTCTTCTGATAGGATTATGCTTTTTACATGGTTTTCCAACATACTAGCAAAAATTAGACTTGTGTCAATAAGTACAATGTGATATTAGGTACCTGACTTGAGAGAGATCCAGTTTATGATCTATTAATTAACACATTCTGCTGTAAGTGATATGTAACATTTATTGTTAGATTTAATATGAAAATTATTTATTTTTGATCACAGCGTGTTCAAGTTGAAGATTAACTAGGACATAACATTTCATGATGATGGCAGATATTTACAGTTGTTTCTATTAATTAGGTCACATGAGTAAATTGAAAAATATTTCAGTCCTTTATACTGCTGACTGTCTGGTATACATCTACAAAATACATGTTCCGGTCCATAGAGTTGGATTGAAACACAAGTTCAATTTTTCAGTTTGAAGTATTTATTTACATAGTATTATTTTGTTGTGTGATGTAGATAAATTATATTAAAGACCTTTTTTAGGTAAAGCTATATTCCAAACACCATAATAGTAAAATTTTGAAAAATCTCTTGAAATGTGTGTACAGTTGTATGGATTGTAGAAAAAAAATCTGAATTGACAAAATATGGATGGAAACAAATAACTGTCTTTTTTGTCTCTGTGATGACTTAAATTATTAGGATTTCCCCAATATTTAAAAAAAACAAATTCACAAAGTTTCTTCTATTTTGACTAAAGTAGTTTACAGAACTAAAACTCGCTCAGGTACTGTATTCACATATATCATTGATATTTCAAGTATTATCCTACACATTATATCAAAAAATCCAAGTCTGAACAGATCTGATATTTTCCTATCAAAACATTGGTATAAAATAAACCTTTTTTTTTTTTTAAAAAAAAAAAAGAAAAGAAAAAGCATTTAAATTTTTAAATCTTCGTAATTTTCTTGACATACTACTTATGACGTCATGATGTAATTATTTATTTAATGTCTCTCTTGTTCTGAACATCTTCAAAGATTTCTACAACAAAGTTTGATTTGGGGACAAATATTGGACATAACCTTATATAGTCCTTTGCATTTCTGCTGTTTAACACAGAAAATCATGTTTATTGTTCACAATTTTCTGTTTAATAATTACAGTGTGTTAAGAAAAATGAAAGCATAATTAAAAAGATTTATTAAAAATCCATCACATTCGTCAATAATTAATTGATAAATTGAGTAGTTTAATAGAATGCTGTTACACAGCCATTATCTCAGGGTGTTAAATTTTTACCTGAAAAATACAATAACCCTTTTAGTTAATAATTATCCTATATTTATATGCTCAATTGATTATTTAAATGCAGGATGTGTCATATTTATTATTCAGTTGTGTTGGACGAGCATCTGGTACAAATTACTGATATTAGCTCTTACAATATAAAGATTTTAATTGATTTTTTATCATCTTTAGTCACATCAGCTTAAAGTGCTTTATTTTAAAGCAGCATATTATTAATACCTTATATAATATCATGCACTTTTTTAATAGATAAAAGATTGATTTCCAATGGTTTCATCTGAGATCATAATTATATATTATGGATTTGCATTAAGACTCTTAAATTTAAATATTCTTAGAATTCTATATTTTAGAATAATCTCTTTGTACCCGAGATGATTTTTAAAAATCTTTATATGCAGTGTACCACACACAGGTAACTTCATCAGGAATAAATAATTAATAGAATCATTATCTCAGTAATCAGATGATTCAGAAATCTGTTAATTTGTCTGGCGGAACATTTCCTATTAAGGTAGAGCTTTTATCAGTTAAGCCGCGGGATGATTATCGACATTTACAAATTTCACCCATACCTGAGATAACTAATATCCCTGACTAATTGACAGAAAAAACAAGGGACGTGGGAATGGAGAGATGTGTGTAAATATCACTGACACGCCTATTGATCCCTGCCATCTGCCTGTCGCCGTAGATGGCGGTCATATTGCGACCATTGATCGGTAACAGAACGCGAGGCTGGACAGTTATGTACATAGAGAATTCCCCGTCAGTAAATTAACTCAATAACTAATTATTAGACCTTCAGTTTCTGTTGAACTCAGCAGACAGTCCATTTCTCAGAAGTAGAATTATCATAGGAATTCATTTTTTTTTTTTTGTAATTAAATGTGCCATGAATCTGGAACCTTTCTCCTTGATATAATTGGGATGGACCAATTTCAGGGACCTATATACTAACTTTCTTAAATATCTCAGGTACATTCTGATGTTTATTCACTTTAAGTTGTTTATGGCAGTGTGTGCATTTAAAGATTTTATCTCTTGTTTGAAAACATGAATTTAAATGTCTTGTTTGTGTTCTGAATTGTAGTTAAAACTTGTGTCAATATTTTAAGTTTTACTTGTATGTTTTTTTTTCAGTGGTTCAGTGTGTATTAATCACAAATGATTAAAATAAATACTTTGTGTTATTTAAAGTAGGAAGGAGGATCTTACAGATTGACAGAAGTTTAATTAAATAATAACAAATTTTTACTGTCAGTTCACTTGTGTACCTCTGTACAAAAATTGAATGTAAATGAATCATCAATTTTAATCGGTTAATATACGTCTCAATTTAATCCATTGCACTATTGTCCATACTAACTTTATTGTAAAAAGTGTTGTCATTTTCGATATTTATAATAAGCTAGATAATATGAAATACCATGTTCACCCAACTAAGTCCATTACCTCTTTAAGAGTCCACCCTTTTAAAGTAAATACCCCTCATATGACATTGTAAATTAGTAAATATGCAAGATTTATTTTTGGGAAATAAGGGAGATAATTTATGTATACCAGTATGCATCATTTTCTAAACACATTTAAAGTATTTTTTGTGATTTTCGTACCGTTTAAACCTTTTTCATTTAGTTAAAACTTGATATATTATATTGAAAAACAGTATTTTACTTCATATAATAGATTAACGTACTGCTTTAAAAATTTTAACCAAGAGGGTAATTGCTGATTACATAATGGATAGTGTCTTTGGTTCAGGCTATAGTTCACTAGAAGAAAAGGAATCTGTCTACTATGTTCTTGAATTGATTGTTAAAATAACTGTAATAATCTTTGTGTGTAAGTTTGACATGATACATACTCATTTTAAGTAAGTATTCTAATTAAAACTGGCCCTGTATTCTCTTTATTTAAACTAAGCCCCCCATTCTGTTGTCAGATTGTCGTACACAGCACCCATTTATTGATTTTTACGGACTTCTAGTTACGGTTATTGTGATAAACATACATGTATGACTACATTACATGGATTTGTCCACTAATGAACTAGGAATGTCACCATGCTGCTGTCACATAGAGATTTTATTATTTTTTAGAGCCGCTGACATCGTAATATAAGGATGTGAGATTGGAATGACCCAGACGATACCTATAGAGGTCAATATGCTGCTCCTGTGGTACAGTTTACTGGTCCCCCTGACCACAGGTATGTTACTCTGTCTCCGTTATGTCTGATTATTTCTGTCCCTGATCAATATCTCTGATTCTGTAGATTTGTCATTATTTATTCCTACGACTGTGGTATGATTATCAGTTTATGTAAAGTTTAATTTGTAAGATAATATAATAAAAGCTGATAAATTGTAAGGAATTTTGGCTCACAGATTTCAACAGGTTATAAAGATGTAATATGATGCATAAAACTTTATTTAAATATCGGATTTCCATTGTGCTGAAATGAGTACAAATATGTCTTGAGTGTCAGCAAGCTAGAGTGTACCACATACAACAATTGACAAAAGAAAACAAAAGAAAAAAGGGAGAAATCAGAAATAGTGAAATATGAGATTTGAGGACTTGTCAGATTTTTAAAGTTTTAATTGATATGTCTAACAGCTGTAATATGCAGAAAAAGTAAAATGGACTCTAAAATTGAAATCAGATATTGAGTTTCCAAGTGATATATTAGAAAAGAGGAAATGTATCTTTAAAAAATATATAGGTCTAATTTGCAATATCAGGAGACACAATCAAACACAAGATCATTAAGTCTTAAGTGAATTAATTACCATCATAGAAAACTTTGTCAGTCCATATATAGACATAATTAAGTTTAGTCTGGTGTGTTGTAGTTTTGATTAATCCGAGTTTGAAGGATTATATTGTTTATTGTTCATCAATCCATATCTCTGATTCATCGGTGTAAACAACTTTAGCAAAAAATCCCTTTTATAACATCATCTAGTGCAAAAAACAGAAACTTAGGTATTTATTCATTTACGTAATCAGCTTTGAATATAAATTTCACCGCTTATCAATCAACACTTGTAATGCTATTTTCATGGCTCTGTTACATCATATTTTAATTTATTTATCAAAGCTGCGGGTAAAAGCATGTACTGGAATTAACATGTTTCTAAATGAATTCACTCCACTGTGAAACAGCTAGATTGGCCGTGTCACAGGATCTGTTGAATTTACACCTGTAAAGTAAAGCAGACAGGAGAAACTTTATATTTTGTTTATGATAATCAGATAAACAGGGGATAATGTATCCGTGGTTGACATTAACTGTAGAAATAGAATATGACAATGTCGAATATTTGGAGTGGGCGATTTAATTCAAGTCCTTACCTATGGATAGATACAGTCACATGTTCCAATAAAAAAGGTATACCAGTTTGCTGGCACACCCCTAACAATATTTGATTTGGTTCTTGTTTTTGAGAGTCTATGAACACTGTTAATTCAATCATTTATTATTACATTTTAATGTGCATGTTTTTATTAATATAACAATAATATGTTGAGATTACAGAGGGAAAATCTTAAGCTGCATAGAATAGTGAACAGTTGCAACATAAATATTAAATGTGAAATATGACTTGGAGAGGAAATTTGTATTTTCCTTCTGCTTGATTCTCCTGAAAATCAATGATTTTATCACCAGAAATGTCAGAAATGACCCGTGTAGTCTTGATAAATGATTAACAAACAAATGTTTATTACCAACCCCTGCCGGCCAGAATCGGAGTACAATGTGTGACAGTAATGCTGATATCTTCCAGAATTCAATTCACGACTAGAATCCAAGATTCAGTGACTGAGAACAAATAAGAAAAAAAAAATTGCATGTGATTTAATTACAGTCGAACATTTTTTATCTCGAACTCAAAAGGAATTTAAACTTGGACATATCCAAGAATTCGAGGCGCAGAGGGTAAAAACATTAAGAAAAAGTGATTATAAATACTGCATTTTCAACCAAAACTGAGCAGTTTAGATTTTTCAGAAATTCTCAGGGCCAAAAAAGGCCCTAAGTGGCTCTTGCTCTTTGCATCTCACTAAAATTCCACTTATACGGTATAAAGATATAATTATATACAGGTGTACAATATATTGTAAGCATTGGAGTATCCATGTTTTTACAAAATATTATGTCATATTTTGCAAGAATGAACTCTGATTTTGAAATGGTCACAATTTCTTGTGCTGAATGTCATCCAACGTCAATGTATGAAGAAAAAACCCTTTATAATGCAGAATACATGAAAACCACAATTTTCAGAAAAGAGTAAATTAAAGTTACCTAACTTTTAGTTTTTATGCAATAACTTTTTTTAATTGGTCAAATGGTGTCAAATTGTTCAATGTTCAAACAATTAATTTTTTGTTTTTATTTGTGTTGAACATGCAGCCTCCTTTGTCTACAAGCCAACTACTGCTATACGAGAAAGTTCAGCCCTGGTATGCGAAAATAGCCTGCTTCTGCTGGACTGTGAAAAGAAAAATGGAGTCATTCGCATCTCAAGAGCAAACTATGGAAGATTTAGTTTGGGGACTTGTAACAATTTAGGTGCAACTGATGGATGGAGTGTGAATTGTATGGAGCCGGAATCCAAAAGAATTGTAGCAGAAAGGTAGGCAAAGATCTAAAGTAATAATCTGAATATTATCTGTGAATAAATGTATTCTAAAATGCTTTTAAGTCATGCAGAATTTTATACAGTGTTCTTAACTGAGTAAGCCCATTCCAAGTCTTTTCTCTGTTTAGCATCCACCCTAATCATTGAAAACCTACCCGCCTATTGACAAAAAAAAACAGAAGTTACACACACTTTTTTGTTATTAAATTGATTTGATTTCGTGATTCTATTTTTCTCAGAGAAAAATGAATTCCGTTGCAAAATTAACATATTAAATGCTAAGTATACAAGTATATCTAATTTGACTGATTTCTGACTAGTGTTAAAAAAAATGACGACAGAATTCAAAAGGTTTCAATTAATATAAACAATTTCTGGACTACTGATTTTGCTTGTTTTTTTCTGGTCTGGGTTTCAAAAAGCAAGTTGCATGTAGGTGCTAAACAAAAAAAAAAACAAAAAAAAGGGGGGGCTAATATTTAAAAGTCTCTACAAGATGCTTATTGACAGTTGATGAGTTTATATGACACAAATTGGTATATATGTTTGCCATTGTAGATGTGATGGTCATCCCAAATGTAACATTACAGCTTCCAATGAGGTTTTTGGAGACCCATGTGTTAACACGTTTAAGTACCTACAGGTTTACTACAAGTGTGAGCCCAGAAGTTAGTACACCTTTACCTTCTTTAAATAGTTTATTGATAATTACAAAATCAAAACTTTGTCTGGCAAAAATGGTCAATTTAGACTTTATTTTAAGAAAAAAAAATACATGTACATGTAACATGAAAATAAGGTTATTGCATCATTGTATTTAGGAGAGACTTGCTCATGCATAGCATACTGTTAAAAATTTAAAATGAAGTAAAATCATTGCTTTAATTTTAGAGATCACACCACCACCCCCATCCACCACTAAAACCCCCACTACAACCACCACCAATGTAACTACAACAACCAGAAAAGCCACCCCCAGCACTCCACTGAGGCGTGTCTGTGATGCAGTGTATGTTGAAGGAAAGAATTGGCCATATACCAACGTGGGAGATGTGGCATCCATGAAATGCCCAATGCCAAAAGTGGGCATCATGACCTGGAAATGTACAGGGTCAGGCTGGCAGGGGGAGAAGCCTGACGACTCCAAATGTCATATTCCTGTTACATGTGAGTTGTGCCATCATTTACTGTCTACATTTATATTTACAGTATTAAGGGCTGTATATCAATTTGATGTATGTTATTGTTACATATTTAAACATAAGGTATGTCTCAATTTGTTCTGATATTATGATGACTGACTTGTCAGGAACAGTTCTTTTTTAACTAAATTAGAGTGAAAAAAGAAACTCAGTTTCTTGGAAACTGAATAAATTAATTCAAAAATTGTATCATTAAATTTTTCCATGGTATGATCTGCTTGATTACAGGTAAGCGCAGGTGTAAGATATTGTGACCAACATTGTGAAAACCCTACTGGGTATTAAAAAATAGAAATGATTCTGTATCTGCATTGAACAAGTAAACCTATAAGTGAAAAAATATAGATAAAATTAATTAATGGATGACATGTATATTGATAGGTTTTTATGATGTGGGATGTTCAAGTTTTTACCTGTTAGTTTTGAGGAAGGTTGAATTACAAAAGTTATTATCTATTCACTAGATGCTCCCTCCAAAATAACAACCACCCCAAAGATACGATTCTGTAAGGAAACAGAGAGCCAAGGGGTGATCTGGCCCCAGGTGAGGGTAGGGACTGAGGTAGAGAGGCCTTGTCCTGAAGGTAAACTCGGAGACATGAAATGGAAATGTACGGGGACAGGCTGGAAGGGCAGACAACCTGATACAAGTAACTGTGTGTCACCATGGCTTAACAGTATTGATGAAAGAGTAAGTCTTTATTTATATAACAGAAGTGATACAAATTGATTGGGAAAGTACAGTTATTCTATTTTCGACATGCATTTTTTTAATTCTGATTAAGATACTTTAAACCAATAGAATATTTTGATTTCCAGGTAAACTCCAGTGCTAGTAGTATAGAAGACATTGCTGATCAGTTGAAGAAGCAGACTGACAGCCACAGCCTGGGGGCCGGGGACCTGGAAAAGATGAACAACATCATCACTAAAATGGGACAGGGATTTAAAATCTCTGGAACTCCCAACAAGGAGGAAAAACGACAAAGACTGGAAAAATTCACAAAGGTCTATAAATACATGTATATTCAATTTTTTAGTTTGACTTAAGATAGGTAGCTTTCTTTAATCCAGATCATATCTTGCACACTGTGATATTTCATATCTTCTGCTTAAGATTGACTTTTTTTGTTTGATAACAGAATATTGCGGAGACAGGAAGTAACGTTTTGTCTGAGAAGCAGTCCACTTCATGGGAGGAGCTACCAGCAGACAAAAAAACAAAAGTGGCTGCTTCCTTCCTTGTTTCCATGGAAACAACTGGATTCAACATTGCAGAAAATTTTAAAGAGGAAGAATCCATTGTTTCTTCTACTGAGAATTTGTGTATGTTTATTTTTCTGTCTTAATAAAAGATAATTTCCCCTGTAAAATGTACATGTATATAGGATTCCCCTTGTCTAATCCCACAAAACAGATATCTAATACACTGCAGTACTGGCTATTTCGTAAAAAATCTCTATACAGTAAATCAGGCTTATAACCAAATGCCAGGGATGGATGATTTTGCCTTGTTATAAGCATAATTTGTTGAGTTAACAATATATTTTAAAGTCACAGGGAATGAAAAACATTTTGCTTTAAGTGTCAATTCATTAGTATGTTCACTGTAAGCATGTTTTACTGTATTGTTAGCAGGATTGTGAAACTAAATCAGGTTTTTGTGGATTGTTGATTTCTGTCTGTTTATCTAGCTGTCATTGACTCAGCATCAACAATTTTGTTCAGCTCTTTTATGGGTTTCTAAGTCATAGTTCAATCTTCAGACTTCACAGTTAATAAATTGAAATGGTTGCCTCTTGTCTTGACTTTTTCTTACCTATAGATGTTTTTCTTGACTTATTCTGATCATTACACATAAGTAATCAGGAGGATCTATTTTTGACAGTTATGGAGGTGTCAGCAGTCAAAGTCACGGAGGACAAACCAGCAGTGACCTACCCCTCCTCCAGGGACCAGAAGTGGAGGGATGACCAAATCACAATACCCATGGAAAACATAGAAGCCCTGTCTGATGGAGGTATTGACTGCACATCAGAGATCATACCTTAACTCTATAAAACTCCCTATCAGAGATACCTTAACTCTATAAAACTCCCTGTCAGAGATACCTTAACTCTATAAAACTCCCTGTCAGAGATACCTTAACTCTATAAAACTCCCTGTCAGAGATACCTTAACTCTATAAAACTCCCTGTCAGAGATACCTTAACTCTATAAAACTCCCTAATAAATGCAAGTCATAATGACACTATAATTTTAAAGGGTGGGGATAAATTGGTAGATTTTTACTTCTTTTAATGTGGTCTTAGTGCTGTGTCACTTATTATGACAAGGCAAGATTGATTTATGTGTGTTTCTACCTGTATAACATGAAGTTTGTATAAGAGCTTTTAAATATTGTTTATACTCGCAGTCAGTTCATTTTTAAGTTGATTGTATATTTTCAGATTATTTTTGAGAAATTTACTACTCGCTTATAAGTGGGTATGATTTTTTGCCAGAATCAGTCGTTAACTTCAGATCAATAGTCTGTTGTATTGACTGGTGTTTCAAAGTATGTTTTAGGGTAAATTGGCATCAATATTTGATCTTTTCTTTTGTTACGTAAATGATATACCGGTACACAATAAACAAGACACATTTTAAGCAACAACAAAAAATCATTAAAATCTAATTGCTTGTACATCATGCATATGGTAACCTTAGATGTTTCTATTTCCTGAATTTTATCAATAATAATTATCAAAGTTGTTTCAAAAATGCTAGATTTTGTTGTCCAGAAAAATACTGATGTTCCTAGGACATGTAAGTTGAACACAGTTTTGGACCAAAATTTACCTCCTAAAAATACAACTCATATGCAAGTTTATACAGTATAAGCTTCAGAAATACACTAGTGGATGGATTATTAATGAGCAGTGAATTGACACTTGTGATTTTATTTTCAGGAATTACCAAAGTTGTTGTGTTTGTTTACCAGAATATGGAGGACCTGATGACGACGCAAGATAATACTTCCTTTATAAATAGTCACATTATGTCAGCCTCCATGTCTCCACACACTGTCATTCTCAAGAAACCAGTGACCTTCACCCTTAAACTCACAAAGGTCAGGGACAATTCTAAATGAACAGCTGGAATTATATGAATTGTGTGTATTTTTAATGGTGTGAACATCTGTTTTTGAATGGTTTAATGGTTTGCTGTTGTTTTTAGGCTGTTCATGGATCACTGACCCCTGTTTGTGCTTATTGGGAATTCAGGTGAGAAAACTGTAACTTTAATTACGATCAAAAAAAGAGAATCATAAAAAGTTGGGAAAACTTTTGCCTTCTCATGCTTAATAATTGGTTAGATCTAGATGCAATTGTGTTTGTATCATGTAAAAATTAATTTCTTTAATAGAGACAGTGAGTGGTCAACCTCAGGTTGTTGGAGGGTGACCTTTAACCTCACACACACGACCTGTCGGTGCTCCCATCTCACCAACTTTGCAGTGTTGATGGATGTCACAGGTACTCAGGTAAAGAAATAAAACTACACAAAATCTAGCACTGTGTCATTAAAGCAATAATAAGACCTGAACTTTACAGTTGTGTTCAGTTTTATATTTAAAAAGAAAAATATGAATCAAGCCCCTAATAACTCGATAATGATCCTATTTTGGTGATGGTAAGTTTGAAATGGCACAAAAGTGATGAGTTACTCTCCTTAACAGTTATCTGTGGAACATGAGTTTGCTCTGATGACAATCACTTATTTTGGCTGTATCATCTCCATCATCTGTCTTCTCCTCAGCTTCATCACTTTCTTCTACTTCAGGTAAGGATTAAATTTATGTTTATATACATGTAAAGCTCGGTAAAAGGAGTCATTTTTGCGTTAATGGCATGTCAAATTTACACTGAAGGGAAATTTTAGCCTTATGTAGTGGACAAAATACTTTACACATGATGTTCCACTTACAACCTCTATGATGGTAACATATTGTCAAATATCAGAAATACAGTCTGTGTTAATTTTGACAGATTTAGCACTTAAATCATATACATTGTACCGTATATACTCGCCTATAAGTCGGTCCGCCTATAAGTCAGTTGTGATTTTTGAGGTTATTTTGGAGGGATTTGCAATTGACCCGCCTATAAGTCGGTACAACTTTTTGCCAGAATCGGTGGACAATTTCAATTAATGCTCTAATGTTTTAACGTTTTTCAAACAATATTTTGAAGGATTACGCCGATATTTTATCTCTTTTTTTTTTCTTCTCTTATGAATTTCATATCAGTACTCTAGATTATTTACCTGTGTTCAAATAATATGCTAGGATATGACATCTGTAAATACTTGTACTTTATTTATAATCTATTTATACTTTATTTATAATTTATAATCATAGAATACATAAATAATATAATACGTCCAGACATTTCTCAACGATAATCGTCGAAGTTATGTAAAAAATACTACATGTTGTCGTCCAGAAAAATACCAAGCTTTTGATGTCTCGCCTATAAGTCGGACGTAGAGTTTTAGACCAAAAGTTAACTCCCAGTTAACTTTTGGAGTATATAGGGTAGATATTTATAGACCTGGATTTTTGTTTTACTCTCTGTACATGTCAGTATTTTAACATATTATGTGCCTTAATGGACTTTTGCGAGAAGTGCTGACTTTTACAGTTGACGGCTTACTCTGACATTTAAACCTGCATTATGTACGGAGGTAGGGAATTGATAATAAAAAAAAGAAAACCCTAATAGTGGATATATCTATCATAATGGTATAAGAGGTGCTAACATGCTATTAACATGATTTACCAGCATACAATCAATGCAAGATGATGGGAGGCAGAGTAACGTAACTTTAAATATGTTATTCGTGAGGCATTGTATCTCCTTTCAATCACATTTTCTGAAGGAATCAAATAAAGAAGGAAAACATTCCCAAAGGGAAAGATTTGCAGGAGTTGGTGAATGTGGAAAGGGAGGGGGTTGAGGATAGGGTGTTTGCTGTTCCCTTCCTAGACTATATGCTTTCAAATTGCCCTTTATTATACATTGTGTATTTGAATTAACTATTAATCTAAATACATGTATTTATATCGCAAAAGAGCTTTCGTATATTGTCCTAGTGTAAAAATAAGCTGAAGACTAATTAAGAGTCATGATCAGCGCTTCTCGCGAAAGTCCAGTAGGAGAAAAAAAGAAATGACATGTTTGACATGATTGTTATTGCCTTACAGAAATCTGCAGTGTGACCGTAACACGATCCATAAGAATCTGGTTTTGTCTTTAATGCTGGCAGAAATTATCTTTGTGATTGGCATTTCCCTCACTCAGAATAGGGTAGGCAATATATTATAGATATTAATTTATATACCAATCTCTTTTTCTCATACAAAGTCGGCAAGATATTCTGTATCAGTAATTATTTCTAAAAGGATTTAGAGTGCATGCATTTTTATTAAAATTAGATTGTGTGTGGAGTAGTGGCAGGCGTTCTTCATTTCTTATTCCTTGCTGCCTTTGCCTGGATGTGTTTAGAGGGATTCCAGCTGTATGTGATGCTGATTGAGGTGTTTGAGGGTGAAAGAAGCCGCAGGAGGTGGTATTATCTGTTTGGTTATGGTATCCCCTTAGTTACCGTTGCTGTGACAGCAGGTGTTAAACCGTCAGGATATGGAACAGAGAGACAGTAAGTTAAGGCATACCTTTGGGGGGGGGGGGGGGGGGGTCGTTTGTCTTTATAAAAGCTTATGTCTTGGGTGCATCTTAAAGAGGGAAATGAAATTTCTAACATTTCTCAAGAAAGTGTGATAAAAACGAGACAATATAAGATAACAGAATTAGTGGGTGATCATATCTTGAAAAATGAATCTGTGATTTAACATGCTACATTAGAACAGTTCAATTGGCTCCACTTCTTGTATTGTTGGATAGTGCAATGTTGGATAGTGCAATGTTCATCCAGAGTACTTTTTACGATAATTTATTAAGACTGCCCTTTCATTTTTTATCTTTTTCAGTTGCTGGCTGGACACTAGTGCTTCAGTGATCTGGAGTTTTGTTGGCCCAGCACTGGCTGTGATTCTGTTTAACATTGTTATGTTAAGTATTGCTGTGTACATGATGCACAAGCATGCAAATACACTGGCTTTAGCCAAGGGGAGATCCAAATTCAGCAGTGGAATTCTGTAAGTATATTCTAGACATCCACACATTTTATAGGCCTGCAACTTGCACTAGTTACAATTTGATAGTTTTTCTTTTGGATATTAACGAACACAAGTAATTGTGATGGATGGGATAAACAAGCTACCAGAGTTTTCTTTAGGAAGTGTTGAAATAAAAATCCTTGGTGTTTGTTCTTCTGTCTGGTGATTTTCTGTCCCTGACTTGTTTCACTCTGTTCTCTGTAGACGGGATCCAAATTCAGGAACAAGTCAGAGCACCACAATGTCTGAGGAAAAAGCTCGCACTGCTCGACATATCCCGTAAGTAACGCTGCTTTACAAATCAGAGAAGTTACACTACTCTTTTTCTTCCTCTGAGAGCACATTATACTTTTAAATGACTGATCAATGTAAGATACTAATACATAAATCATGTTTTGCCTTTTCCTTATGTATGCTAAGAAGGACTAAAATTCATAAAAGATTAGGGTTTTAAAAAAAGAAATATTTGATTTACAAAGTATTGGAAGAAAGGTTTGCTCATTCGAAATCAGTCAGCTGTGAAATCGCTAATTTTCGTGGGGTTTAATTTTCGTTGTTTTCATGGTTTGAAGAGACTCACAAATTCATGTCCCCCACGAAATGTTAAAATCCCATACTGTTTCTCTTTTATCCACGAAATTAATTCCCCTCAAACGGTCATTTTTCCTTAAACCACAAAAATTCAACCCCACAAAAGTAAGTGATTTTAAAGTACTTTTGTTTAGTGTAACATTGATTGTTTTAGGTCTTGGGTGAAGGGAGCTGCCATTTTAGTGGTTTTACTTGGTCTGACCTGGGCCTTTGGTGTCCTGTTCATCAGTAAGGAGTCGGTAACAATGGCTTACGTGTTCACAATCCTGAACAGCTTCCAAGGATTGTTCATCTTTGTGTTCCACTGTCTCATGAATGAAAAGGTATGTCATCCCTGATTTGAGGCAGATGATTAAAACTGTCACAAAATTTTCATAGCACACAAGCTTCCATTGTACATTTATATATGAATCTGTTGAACCTGTCATAAGCTGTGAAGAAAATTCTGTAAACAAAATCTGAAAAAGTATTCCAAGAATACCTGAGTGTCTCAGTTGATGTCTAATTTTAATTAAGGTGAAGAAGGAATACAAGAAGTTTGCGTACAAGTCGACATGGTTACCAGAGTGTATGAGAGCATACTGTCTTGGATACAGTAATGCGTCAACTTCACACACACCCAACAATTCCTCATCATCAGGGGGGTACCTGCTCAAACTCTGGAGTGGCAGACGACGGCGAAAGTCCTCCTCCTCCACACTGGATAAATCTGCTAAAGGTAATCATGGTTACTCTCATCCACCATTGTTGATCAGCAGTAAAAATAGTGATTAATGGAATAGCTGTGATAAGATTCTTCTCTAGGTACGGTTTTTATGTAAATTTTGAGTTTGCTTTAAAAGTAAAGAGTTTTAGTTGATCTTTTGTTTTATTGGTTACAGGTAAAAAGAGGATCAGTGAGCCACGCAGTGATTCCTCTGTTTTCACTAGCCACGACATGAACACGCCTATTGTCAGGCAGTCTGCTTCAAATGGTCGTCAGCCAAATATGGATTCTAATGGGTATCTCCAGCCCTATCCTGAGTATGAGGCAATCCTAGGGGACCTATCAGAAGTTAACTGTTCTGTTATTGACAGTGAATATGTGTCAGAGTACTGCCAGAATCATCTACAGGTTTCCAAGGAAACCAATGATTACTCATCGGAGTCGGACAATGAGGATGTTCAGGACCAGCCAGAGAAGAACCGTCTCTCCATCTTGTCGAAGGATTCTGCTGTGAAGTATGACTCTGATTTTAACCTCTCCCACCAAAACATCACTGAGACTGAATTTCTTCTTGAGAAAAGTGTGTCGGAGAAAAACTTGATTAACAAAGCTCAAGATGAAAAAAGTCGCATTAATTGTGACAGTTTAGGCAAAAAAATTTATCCTGGATCATTTTCCGAGATTCACGGATACCTCTCGGATGGAGAGGAATTGAACCACAGCATGCCGCTGATTCCCAGCTTGCCACATTCCCCGGGTACTCCTCTCCCCCAGGCTGGGAGTCAGTCCAGCCTTACCTATCTTCATATTGAGGAGGAAACATTCTCTGGGGACAAAAACAATAATTCCAGTGACTGCTAGTGACACACAAGCCTTTGTAGCAATTACTGGTGCTTTGTTCATGTTATATCCTGCTTTGGTAGCCATTAGATACGTGTGTAATATTTTTTACATTTTTCATGAGAAATTTTTACATTCTTTGAGATGGCAACTAATGTTTCACTAGAGTACATGTTGCATTTGCATATTAGAAGCAGGCTAAATGGCAGCTTTTGTTGTGTGTGCCATAACATCAACAGGTGTAGGGAGTAGAAAACTATGTCAGGGGACCAACAAATTTTATTTTCTTAAGTTTGGAATCAATAAAGAAAAAAATTCTCAAAGAATGCAAATAAAAAGGTGGGCAGATAATAATATCACAAGTAATATTGTTTTCTTTTATAAGTTTCGTTTTCAATCCAATTTTGAGAGCTTCCTAAGATGTTACCAAAGAATTTGTTGGATATTGATTTTCACAGATGCCAAAGATGGTGTAAAGTTATGGATGGTTCTATTTCTGATTGATGCAAACATTCCCATCATCAAACTTACAGTATTTATAAAAATCAATGGTTGTGACTTTATCTATTGTATATCTTAAATGTTATTTTGTATTGATTGTTAATTTACTTAAGAATCTATATGTAAATGTCATTTTTTCTTAGATTTATTTTGTGAAATGATTCTTTACTGAGGTACATGTGACTGTCTGCTCATTGATTCATTACAACTACAGGTACAATATCAAAATCAGTACTTTGGAAGGGTATTGAAACCAGTTTAAGAAAGTAATTAAAGCAGACAGAAATAAATTGTAGACTACAAATAAGAGGCATAAAGATTTTCCTGAAAGTTTAAAATTTCAGCTTCATTGGTTAGGAGCCCCAAAAGCTCTGGCTTACATATTCCAATGTTATAATGTTATATTTGAAGATGGAAAAATAATTTAATATTGTGTATTAATCATTTTAGAAATTTCAAAAACAATTTTCAATGAAGCTTAAAATAGGATTTTAAATCCTGACGCTCAGCATTTATGAAAAATAGAAATCAATGTTTTATTGTTAGACTTTAAGCCAGGGTATATCGCCAGTATATTATTTAACAGAACAGTCTTCACAATATTTTGGTGTCTGAATCTCACTGTTTTTTTTTGCTCAGTGTTTACCTTGTAAACATTCCAGATTGCTAACACATGCACAGGCAGACGAAGCATATGTTCTGTCAATTAATTATTGCCTATAAGAGCATATTGTTTATGAAGATTTCACAAATATTGTTTGTTTTTAAGTAGGGCCACTGTTTTATTGTGATTAAGTAGTACGTGAATCTTTATGAGAAGTGCCTTAATCATGTTGATTGATGTACATGTATGTATGTTTTGTTTAAAATAAAGAGAATTCAAATACAGTTTCTTGTTTTTGTCATAATAGACATTTCAATAACAAACACATCATCTGTTCACCAGACATTCATTTAAGTTTCATTGTTGATAGCACTTGAAATGTAAAATTAATAACTGAATAGAAATAAATTTTTAAGTCACCTGAGTCACTCGGGTGATCTATTGCTATATGTTTTCATTCGTTGTCTTGCGATATGCGTTGTGAGTCGGTCATAAACTTCTGAACATTTTCAGCTTCGTCTCTTGAACCACTAAACCAATTTCAACCAATTTTAGCAAATGGCATCAATGGGTGAAGGAGTACAAAAATTGTGAATTTCATGGTCCTTCGCCCCTCCCCCCCTCCCCGGGCCTTAGGGTTGGGCTAAGACCATCAAAATTACTGCTATTTAAAGATCTTCTTTACTCCTGGACATCAAGCAGTCAAACTGTTGGCATGATTGTAATAAGCATCAAGTCCTCTACCAAAATTGTGAAATTCATGGCCCCAGGGTCAGGGGTTCTGGAGCTAGGGTGGGGCTCTAGTGATCATGCAGTGAAAATGCATAAATTCTTTAAAAATCATCTTCTGTCCCCTATATATAAACAGATAAACTAGATGCATGGTTATGATGATCAAGGATGCCTCTTCCAAAATTGTGAAATTTGTGACCCCAGGGTTAGGGATTCTGCAGGAGGGGGTATGTAGTGAAAGTGCATTATTTCTTTGAAAATCTTCTCTGCTCCTGGGTATTTTACAGATATACTAAGTGAATGGTTATGATGACCAATAGTGCTTTTCTAAAAATTGTGTAATTTGTGGCCCCGATAAGGAGTTCAGTGGGGGAGGTGTGTGTCAATTGATTATATAGTGAAAGTGCATTATTTCTTTAAGAGTCTTCTTCTCTGCTCCTAGGCATTAGGCAAACAAACTAAATGCAAAACTGTGAAGAACAAGGGTGCTTCTTCCTAAATTGTGAATTTCATGGCCCCTGGGTCAGGAGTTCAGTTGTTAGGGCAGGGCTCTATTGAATATATAGTGAAAATGCATAATTTCTTAGAAATTCCTCATATCTGCTCCTGAGTATTAAGCAAACAAACCAAGTGCATAGTTATGATGAGCTAGGGTGTCTCTTCCATAATTGTGGTTCTGGTGTTAAGGTGGGGCTCTATTGATTATACATGTATAGTGAAAGTGCATTATTTCTTTGAAAATCTTCTTCTCTGCCCTTGGGTATTTAGCAGTTAAACTAATTGATGGTTAAACTAATTGATGGTTATAATGAGCAAGCAAGGATAGTTTTTTTTAAAAAAAGTTTGAAATGCATAACTCCTTGGTCAATGGTCTTTGTTTTAGGGCAATGTTCTTTTGAATATACAGTGAAAATGCATTATTTGTTTGAAAATCTTCTACCACTGGATATTTAGCAAACATAGTAATTGCACGTTTATGATGAGCAAGGGTGCCTCTTCCAAAATTGTGAATTTCTTGGGCCCCTGGGTCAGGGGCTGTGATGTTGTGGTGGGGCTATGTTAAATCTATAGTAAAAATAAATTCCTTTTTGAAAACCTTCTTCTCTGCTCCCTGACATCAACGAGGCAAACAGAGTGTATAAAGTTGTAATAAGCAAGAGTATTTTACCAGATTTGTGAAATTCTGCACTACTTGTTCAATTTATTAATTTGTATTCTACTGAAAGAAGTTATTACTTTTTGCTATTCACCTATTGATTATTAGTCACTGTAAATAATGCAATTGATATGTCATTTGATTAACAGAATTATACAAGTTTTATGATATTTAATACAAAAAGTACTTTCATAGTTTTAATGGTCAGATAGACTTGTTAATAATAAATAAATAAAAATGGGACCAAAATAACTCATCTTTGAACATTAAATGTTCTTCGAAGACCAAGAGAGGCATATGTGAGAGGGAATGAAATGGGTTTAATTATAGTGCTTAACAACTATTGTTTTGTCTAGTTAGCATGGGGATAGTGACAAATGGGGGCAAATACAGGCAAGTAAATAGATGAACTCTAAGATTTTTTACCTAGTACTTAATTAATTAATTTGCCGATTCCTGATCATCCTATTCCTCTTGCTTTTGGACAACATAGCTTTATCTATCAGCATAGTTTGTTTTATTTTATACACTGTACTTCAATCTATGGATTGTCGCCCGCGTGGCGCAGTGGTTAGAGCGTTCGCTCTAGAGTCGCGGAGTAAGGAGTTAATCCTTACGTCGCGGGTTCGAATCCCACTGCCGGACGTGGAGACCGGTCCTTCGGATGAGACCGTATAAACCGATGCCCCGTGTCGCAGTAGGTTCTGGCACGAAAAAGATCCCTCACTGCTCAATGGCCCTAAGTGCCGAGTATAGGTCAAAATTTGTAGCCCTCCACCGGCAAGTGGTGGCGTCTCCATATGAGTGAAAAATTCTCGAGAGGAACGTTAAATAACGTACAATCAAGCAATCAACCAATCAATCTATGGATTCTTTACAATGTTACATTATACTCAGGTGAGTATTTAGGCCCTTCGGCCTCTTGTTAAAGTAACCCAGATGTTATGAAAATTTAAAGGCAGGAAGCAGTCATAAAATATACTAGCCAAAACCTTTCATAATTTTTTTGTAAAGAATTTCAACAAAATATTTGAGGCCAGATCTTCAAATTATCAGGCAATTAATGTGGTGTTCCTTTTAGAAACCTTTGTGATGTCTCTCAGTTAACTAAGTAATCTTTTAAAATGAATTATTTCATATGAATATAAAAGTCCTTTGATATCAGTTATCCTGTTGCAAATTCTCTGATTGCAAATACAATCTATCACTGCATTATTGTGACTGACATATAAGGTCTTTATAATGACCTTGTTAGCATATACATCCTATTCCTATCATTGGGTCGTATTTTGACTGACATATTTCATACCATTTATTAGGCCTTTATGTTATTACACTAATTTTGAATATGGATTATTCCGTCTACCCGATCAATACACTGGGCTCACGGCGGGTCTGACCGATCAACAGGGGATGTTTACTCCTCCTACACACCTCTGGAATTTCCAGGGGTCCGTGTTTTATGCCCTGTTCACAGATTTGTATTGTTTGTGGGGTTTTTTTTTAGATTGATCACCGTTAGTTATCTTTACCTTTTTCATTTCCTTCACTGCTGTTAAAGAGTAAAGAGAACATTTACAAGACCCCACTATCTTTGTAAGGATTTTATGTTACGTTCAGGAAGCCAGTATAGATATATAAATTCAAATTCAATTTGATTGTTCGGAATATTAAAGAAAAATTCTAAAATGACATGTGATTTTAAAGAACTTCCTCCTTAGAGAGGGAACTATGAGTACAACTTGGATTACCACGTAGAATTATATCCCAGTCAGGCGCGGATCCAGGAATTGAAGGGGGGGGCGCAAAAAGTAGGCAGGGGGTCTGGGGGCCGCCTTGAGGCCCCCAGTGGGTCCAGGATTCTAGAGATTTTGTAGGCTTAAAATGAGGTCTACCGAGTAGACACTTTTACATTTTCTAAACGAAACTATGATTTACCCTAACTTTGACAGTTTTTTTTGGGGGGGGGGGGGGGTGCACCCCCCTTAAATCCGCCACTGCCAGTTCTGGTAATAATGAGCCTTACAAACAAAGACTTTGTTGTAACCTGCTTTGTCAGCTTGGACCACTATATAAATTGATCCTGTAATCGACCTAATTCTTCTTTCACCTCTCAATTATTGAAGACAGAAGGATAGAGCAAAGTGATACGCGGAGCACGATTTCTACCATTGACCTTGATCTTGCTCAAATGACCTTGGATAAATGTGTAGACGAACTCTCAGTTCATTAGCAATTTTTGATTGATGTTTATGATCAAGACACAAATTTTGCACTTTCTCTGCAAGTGGCTTGAATTTACGCAAACTTAGGTAAAGGTTACAGTACACCAGTAGATACCCTTTTTGCTCCTATATGGCATATATATATTTAATCATAAAAGAACAAGATGTGTTTGTGAAACACTGATGCCCCCGTATGGCAGCTTATGGCAAAGGTTAAAGTTTCTTAAATGCAAGTCAAACTCCAGGTTAAGGAATCAAAAATGTTGGTACCCAAAGAAAGGTCTTGTCTCGAGGAATATACCTGTGAAATATAAAAGCCCTAGTACATCCTGTTGAAAAGTTATGGCGAAGGTTAAAGGTTTTTTTAAAACTAAGTAAAACGGCAAGGTCAAGGTCAAATGGTGCCCAAGAGAAGTTCTTGTCACAAGTGATACACATGATCGTGAAATGTGAAAGCCCTAGAAGCAAACGTTCAAATGTTATGGCCAATATTAAAAAAATTTAAAAGTAGGTCAAACTCCAAGGTCAAGGTCAATGCAAAAATTGTTGGTATCCAAAGGTAGGTCTTGTCACAAGGAATAAACATGTGAAGTATGAAAGCTCTAACTCCAACCGTTCATAAGTTATAGCCAAAGTTAAAGATTTTCAAAAGTAGATTAAACTTCAAGGTCAAGGTCAAAGGGTCAGAGTTGTTGGTATTTGAAGGAAGGTCTTGTCACAAGAAATGCATATGTGAAGTATGAAAGCCCTAACACCAACTGTTCATAAGATAGGGCCAAGGTTAAAGTTTTTCAAAAGGAGGTCAAACTCCAAGGTCAAGGTCATAGGGTCAAAGTTGTTGGTATCTAAAGAAAGATCTTCTCACAAGGAATACATATGTGAAGTATGACAACCCTAGCACTAACTGTTCAAAAGTTATGGCCAAGGTTAAAATTTTTCAAAATTGAAGTAGGTCAAACTCCAAGGTCAAGGTCAAAAGTCAAATATGATGGTACCCAAAGAAAGGTCTTGTCATAAGGAGTACACATGTGAAGTATGAAAGACCTAGCTCGAATTGTTCCAAAGTTATAGCCAAGGTTAAAGTTTTTTCAACAGTAGGTCAAACTCCAAGGTCAAGGTCAAAAGGTCAAAGACGTTGGTATCTAAAGAAAGGCCTTCTCACAAGAATACACTTGTGAAGTTTGAAAGCCCAGGCTTCAAGTGTTCAAAAGTTATGGCCAAGGTTAAGGTCTCAAAAAAAATTGCAAAAGTGGGTCAAACTCCAAGGTCAAGGTCAAAAGGTCAAATATGATGGTACCCAAAGAAAGGTCTTGTCACAAGGAATACACATGTGAAATATGAAAGTCATAGGGCCAACCAATCAAAAGTTATGGGCAAGGTTAAAGTTTTTGCGGACAAACAGACAGACAGACAGACGGACGGACAGGGAAAAGCTATATGCCCCCGAATCTTTGACTACGGGGACATAAAAAGAAAATGCAAGTTTCCAAATTTCATTTAACACAAGCGCTTTCTGGATTTAACAATCCATCTTCAGGTGTACATACTTTGAACTAATTTGTTTTGCAAAACAAATCAGTTCAAAGTATGTACACCTGAAGACGGATTGTTAAATCCAGAAAGCGCTTGTGTTAAATGAAATTTGGAAACTGTGCATTTTCTCTTTCTTTTATGATTATTTTTACTGTGTGACATCATCTTTTAACTATTCTTGAATATATATATATATATATATATATATATATATATATATATATATATATATATAATTCCAAGAAGACAGGCATGATAAAATTCCAAGAATTCTTTTGTTACAATTTATATACCTTTCTTTAAAGGGAAGAAAGAGTCATATGATCTCTTTGAGTGCAGTGTGCACTGAATGGCGTTCGCTGTGAAAATAGAAGCCAAGGGCTTGCTTTATTAATCTAAACTAGGTTTTCCAGTTTTAAAACATAGCTTGTTCTTTGTATGGAGTGAAGCCTTTTCACATTTCCTTGGTGTTTTTTTTTTAGTGTAAGGTAAGAAAATATGATGAATCTTTATTTCATATTAGTTACAAGTAACAAAATTTATCTGAAAAGCACATTGTTAAGAAACTTTATTGGCATCTCAAATGAAGTATTCTTTGACATTGCTTATCTTTGAAGGAGGATGGACTCCCCACATTTATCTGAAGCTGTTTTTGTGGGACTGTGTAATTACATAGGGACTTCACGTCAAATATCCATGAGGAGAGAAGTATGGGACATTAGACAGAGTATTACTAATCAAGTAAACAAGGAGGAGGATAACTACGAAATGTGGAGTGGAAGTCGAAAGGAGGGATTCAGACTTGCCTCGTCTGATATGGATTGGATGTTCTCCCCAAAAGATCACAGAGTGATATGGAACTTATGTCAGATTAAGTACTATACCCTACTCAGTAAAACGCTGATTTTATCTGAGTGTCAGATGAGTCCCCCAGGGTTTGTTTTACTGCAGTTATTATCGCCATCATACCGAGGTTTCTTGAGAGAAATCATATCTGCATGTGTCGAAATGGAAAGCAGATATTATATATCTAGCTCTATATACAGACAGATAACTTGTTCCAAAGTATTCCCTTTCGCTACCGTTCATGGTCCGTGTGGTAGCAGTAATTATGGGATTGCCGGAGTGGAATGTGATGCCGCACAGTGCCTGACATGTGACATTTGGCCACCTATTGCTTCTTCATTTATTACTAGAAGTTCAAGCTGGCCAGAATCGCACATTCTAGGAGATATAGTTAAAGGTGGATGTCATTTTGTAGCAATTGGACACAAGCTATCTGTACACGAAGACAAAGAATGGAGGATATCCTTTTCCTTGGCAGAGCAGAAGCTTGTATACTCGATGAACCATTGTCAATTTTTGACGTATGCTTTATTAAAACTGTTCCTGAAAAATGTTATAAACAGTGAAACAGAAGAAAAACTACTTTGTTCCTACCACATGAAAACAGCAGTTTTCTGGGTTATCCAGCAAAACATCGTCCCCATCTGGTCTCCACAAAATCTTTTAGAATGTTTCTGGATCTGCTTTAAAATGATTCTTAAATGGGTGTATGATGGGGTCTGTCCTAACTTTTTTATTCCAGAAAATAACATGTTTCTCTGTAAGATCCACGGGCATGCGCAGAAAACCTTACTTATAAGGCTTTGTGGTCTGTATGAGAAAGGAAATGTATCTCTTCAACATATTCCATCCATAAGATGCAATATTTTACATGCTCTTCAAAATCCAAGCAGCTTTGTCAGTGTAGATGAACATCTTCTCCTACCAGACACAAACTTTGATGTTGAAATGTTTACTGAAATTGCAACCGTGAATTTTCACCGCATTCCACACTTAAATACATGTTGGAAGCATTTAAAAGCAATAAGTGTTTTAAGAAATTCAAACTTGACAAAGTGTCAGTTTCTCACAATTTAAAACCTTACTGCCATTGTTTTGCAAGACATGGCCTTTATTTTACAAAATTCCCGCCTTCACTCTGGTTCAACAAGAGGAATTTACATTACAAATGAACGAATATGCAACCTGCTGAAAATGGCAGTTAAATTAGGATCTATTTCAGATATGTTGTACATTGCAATGTTTTACTGCAAAATATTTAGGTACTCCGAAGCCTTGCGTATTTTACAGGTAACAAAGGTACGATTTTCAAAGCCTTGGTTGTTATATACTATATATACGTAAACTCGGAGAAGTACACTGAGGCTATGGGGGGAAAGTCTTGGCTTAAAAAGTTACGAGAAGCTGTGGCATGGGATATTAAGCTTCGTAATGATGTATGTTACATTGATGACTTGTTGATAGAACAACAAACTAGTTTGAAAAGCAAATGGCACATGTTAACCATTCCACCATTTGTTATGTTACATATGTTAGAAATTTTGTGTTACAAACACATTGACATAAATAGATTACCAGTAGCGCTAAATGACCTTGAGATCCTGGTACACAGAGACCAGGGCGTATTCATACCTCACCCATACAGAGACATATCATGGGAGATACTTGGAATCTGTCAACAGATCTCGGGGAACCTTGAGGCGGCTCTCTACTCCTATAGACAATCTCTTAACCAGTATCCAAGGCATGTGATACAGACCGCCACACTTATGAGAATACAGGACATCCAAAGTCAAATAAAATCCAGCAGTACTTTAGGAAAAATATTTGAAACAAGGGAAAGTAAAGCTTAAGAATAAATGGGAATTAGGTGTAGACTTTAGCTGAACATAGTGTCCATTGCACAGATTCATCATTAATAGGGTAGAGAAACTTACCAAACAATACTTTTCTATGGGAATCTCCGCAAAAATCATTCTTTGGTTAAAATAATGGAAGAAATCCATAAGTGGTTTGTGCTATAACTGAATCCAACTAATTCTATCCAGTCCAGCAGATTTGTGAGTGAGACATACACGATAACCACCAAGCCAACCTGTAACATTTTAGTCTTGTTTGTGCTGTGACCCTTGGATAACTGGACATTTTAAATTATTTCAGGAAAGTTACCCAGTTGTTTTGTCTCTAAAGTACACATTTGTAGCCACTTGCTACAAAGAAACTGTTTTTCAGGGTGCTTCGATTTACCCAAAAGAAATCAAATGGAATCCAAAAGTACCCAAAAGAAACTTATAATGACTCAAATGAACAGCAAAATGTACGTTAAATTGACTAGTTGGAGTAAATAAATAAATAAATATATACATAAATATTTTAAGGTCATATACGATAAGATACTTGACACTTAAGGGACGATCATTTGATTCTGAGGAGGAGGGAAGGGGGAGGCTCTTTTTTGCTTGTCGAAAATCTTAGCTGAAAGTTACAATTCCAGACCGTAGCCCTCCCCCTTTCCCCAAATTTTTGGTCAAAATAGTTATGTACAAACTTCCGTATAACGAGTTTTCTTGGCGTTAGCTTGCTCAAAGGTATGCCAATAATTTCAGCATAACTTAATTTAGCAGACAGACTTCCAACACTTTGCAAAAGGGTACTAAGAAGAATACTGAATATTTTAGAGATTAAGATTTTAGCGGGCTACTATCAACATGCTAAAATAAAGCAAAGTTAGAATCCCGCTAAAATTACCCGCTATACAGTAGTATCTAGTGTAGTAATTTTCTAGTAAATGCTCTGAATTTAGGATTGTCGAATGAACTTGTCAAATATTTCAGCGCCAAAATGGAAGACACATCTATTTTCCGAGCACCCTCCCCCAATTAAAGTTTTTATGTCTTTTGTATTATCTAAGTTATAGAATGCGCACTTTAATTATAACATTGATAAAACAAGATGTGTTTGTGAAACACTGATGCCCCCGTATGGCAGCTTATGGCGAAGGTTAAAGTTTCTTCAAATGCAAGTCAAAATCCAGGCCAAAAGATAAAAAATGTTGATACCCAAAGAAAGGTCTTGTCTCGAGGAATACACCCGTGAAATTTGAAAGACCTAGATACAACTGTTCAAAGGTTATGGCGAAGATTAAAGTTTTTTAAATAAAAGTCAAACGTCAAGGTCAAGGTCAAAGTGGTTGGTATCCAAAGGAAGATCTTGTCACAAGGATTATATATGTGAAGTATGAAAGCCTTAGCTCTAACCATTTAAAAGTTATGGTCAAGGTTAAAGTTTCTCAAAAGTAGGTCAAACTCCTAGGTCAAGGTCAAAGGGTCAAAGTGGTTGATATCCAGAGGAAGGTCTTGTCACACGGAATACACATGTGAAGTTTGAAACCCTAAGCACCAACTGTTCAAAAGTTATGGCCAAGGTTAAAGTTTTTCAAAAGTAGGTCAAACTCCAAGGTCAAGGTCAAAAGGTCAAAGTTGTTGGTATCCAAAGGAAGGCCTTGTCACAAAGAATACACATGTGAAGTTTGAAACCCCAAGCACCAACTGTTCAGAAGTTATGGCCAAGGTTAAAGTCTCATAAAATTTTGCAGAAGTGGGTCAAACTCCAAGGTCAAAAGGTCAAATATGATGGTACCCAAAGAAAGGTCTTGTCACAAGGAATACACATGTGAAATATGAAAGTCATAGCTCCAACCAATCAAAAGTTATGGGCAAGGTTAAAGTTGACAACAGACAGACAGATAAACAGACAAACAGACAGACAGGACAAAAACAATATACCCCCGGGATCTTTCGATCCGGGGGCATAAAAATTAGTCAAATAACTAGTTTTTTTAACCAAGAAACCAAAAGGAATCCAAAAGTGCCCAAAAGAAACTTATAATGACTCAAATGAACAGTAAATTTTAATTTCTCAATAAAGTCTTGTAAAGTGAGAAAACATTTTAAGGATTTCATCAGCAAAAAGAAATTTGAACACCATAGGAAATCTACAATTTCCTAATATTTTATGAATTTGATATCGGCATCATAATTAATTATCGGCGACAATAATTAGTCGAAAAAATGAATACACCAGTCCATGCTTTTTTTTTTTTGGGGGGGGGGGGGAGCAAGTGTCCTTAAAGCTGAACACGACTCGTAAATAGGCATACACCATATTAGTTTTACTATCTCCGATATTAGCACAAGGGTAAACCCTTCGCATTCGTTACACCTGTTGCTTCGTTGCTTCCTTGTCACGGGTACCTGCGTGGAATGGACGACACGTGTTCATGTTGGTTATTTTATATTACCTTTGCATTTATTGCAGTTACGTGTATTTGTGTTTGTATACTGCACTGACCTGTGCAAGTGTTGTAAGTTTCTTTAGTATCTTTCTCTCCTGCCGTGGAAGAAGCACACAGTTACTTTTGTCGCTACCGAGTGTTTTACAATATATAGCTATGTAGCATACGTCCGTCTACACAGGTGACAACTGATTACATTGAACGGCTTATATAAGGCCCTCAGATATAACGACCGAATAAAAAAATATGGTGGATAAATTCCTTTTACGAATCGTGTTCAGCTTTAATGGATCTTGGTCAGTACTGGATGTTACTATACATTGGAAAAAAAATTGCTTATCAATGCTTTAAAATTATAATTTCGGAAATATTGTCATAGTACGCTGAAACAATCAATTTCCCCCTACGTTGTTGATATTTTATGTCCAAATAATTTCAATACTTATGAGATTGTAACATATTGTTAGAATTTGTAGCAACTATACATTGATGATTGACTGATATATCTAAGATAATTTTGTTATAGTTGTGATTTACTTTGTCCAGTCATGGGTATTTTTCTAGCTTATTCAACCATGTTCTTTCTTACTTGGATAGGTAACCAAAGCCATTTTTTTCGGGATTATTTTCTATCTTTTACTGAAAAGAATTTGTAGGTTTTGTGAAACATAAGTAGAGAAATGTAACAAATTTAACTTGATTTAAATAAGGCACTATATTTCGTGAAATATTATCCGCCAGAGTTTGTGATTTCCAGAGGTTCTTCAACAAATTTAACTTCATGATTGTATAACTGTTGAATTTTTTAATGAATAATACTCTTAAGATTAAATACTGCTTTCTTGATATTGAATTTCCAAAAGAAATAATTTATGAGTAAAATGCACACAATTTCAGCATAGATTACCTTGCAGGGCAAAATTTGACGAAATGTCATTTTAAATCGACAATTTTATAAAAGAATAATAGTCATTTATTCAGGTGATTATTAGCTCTCTTTTCAGAAGTTCAATGAACGTTAAACAAATTTTCAAATTCCTTTAAAATTGCCAGTATTTTATTGTATAATGATCATACTGAGGAAGAATAATTTCTAAATTCTGAAGACCTTGACATAGTGCCTTGTTTCAAGAACTACAAATCATTAATGACTCCAGATATATTGACACTTTGTTTGTTGTAGATGTAACAGGCTGAGATGTAATAGTAATACATGTATTAGTCTGAGACAGTTAAAGGCTGGTCATAGTTCACAACATACAGGGAAGTCTGGAGTGAGTTATAAGTGCAACATGTTACATATTAAGTAAAATATGCTCTGAAGCTAATTATGTTGTACACTAACTTTGAACATTGAAACTGTAAAAACAAGAGCAGCTTGAAAAAGATGTTTTATATCCTTCCTTGTTTGTCTCCTTCTCTGACCCAAGACCAGACCCCAGGATCATGCATGAAACAGTCTTAAAGTCAAAAGAAGATGGGCTGTTTGGCGTGTGATCTGCAGGAATAAGGCGTCCGAAACATTAATAGTTTAAATGTCTACGATTTGGTCGGCTGACTACAGCTGGGCACACTTTACAAAGTTACGCACATGGGAAAAATGTTACATTTAGTTTGAAATACTTTGTCGAATTTAATATATCAGTCCGCTTATATTAATAAATACTACATGTAAAATTTAGTTACGCTTCACATAAACAATAAACACCTATAGGGTATATAGTTAAATGCAATTACATTATATTAAAGTATAAGTAGGTTGGAAAAATTGCTTTAGCCTTCG